TTAGTTTGTCTTCTAGAGTCACGCTGCTAATACATTTTTATGTGTTTTTACTGATTTAATAAAAAAATATTGTTGCTAGTTGATTTTGTAAGATCGTCCTGTATTCCCTGTTTTTTCAGTCAAAATGCTCCCTAATCAGACCAGCTGTTTATAATGTTGGCATCCCCACAGGACTGCACTGACATTGCCCCTCTCTCCCTCTCCTCTCTCCTCATTATGCTGCTGAAGAGGCAGCAGGACAGCCCTGCCAGGGAGCTCAGGTCTCTCGTTAAAGAGCTACGAGGAGTGATTTCAGAGAACCACAGACCACACACTGATAACGGTGCTGCTGACTGCAGCTTCTACAGGAGGAGATCTGCACCAGAGAGAGTGCACAGAACCACATTGTACGTCTGACTCCATTCCCACACGCTGGAAGAATTAGCTTCATTCTTAGGCTAGTGTAGGTCACAGCTGGAAATCATGTGATGTACTAAGTGAGCAAGGAGTGGAGGAGGAAGAGGGGATTTACACATTGACCACAGTGTTCTTTGCTGCTTGCTCGGTAGTATACTATAAAAAGAGTTAAACTCATAGTTTGAAATCTTCTTAGTGCCTTAGGTTTTCTATGTTTGACCCGTGGAATATGATATGTTCCTGTGGAATGTTTCACTGTCTATTTTAATATCCCCCTGTGCCTTCAGCAGCACTGACAAGGCTGAAGAAATAAAAGCTGGCTTTGAACTTAGAAGAAAAACGTGCTACAGGTAGGGAGTGCCTCTGAATCAGACCAACTCATTGTCATCTTTTTGTGTGAATGCTCTGAATATGACTGGCCTTGAGGCTACAAGATAATCACACCATGTACCTATGTGACCTTTTACCTTTCATGCAACGTGTAAGGTGCCACAAAGTGCTACAGGCTAAATAATGTGATGTATCCTGTGTCTGTTTGTGCATACACTGTGCGTACAGTGAGCCACATCTACTGAATGCCGCTGAGCTGAACAGGAAGACAGCCCACAGCAAATCCTTCAGTGAGAGTGAGTTAATCAATAATGAAAATGATCATTAGGTGGAGCCCTACATAAGGTGGACCAGCAAAAAAAAACAACTAATAATCAATTAATTTTTTTCCCAATATCAATATTTATTGCTCTAACACAGACATTATGAATTTTCTTGACTGTGTGACATCAAGCAAAGTGCCTGCAGCGAGGTACGCCTCCTTTCCCACAGCTCCTCTCACTGGGCCGCAAGTCACCTGTCCACTCTCTGCTGACCTCTGACCCAAACAGCTAACACTGACCTGACACTACACAACAGGCCTGACACTGGTTCCTCGTATCAGTAAGTTAATAGCGTATACTGTATATACACACTTGATCCTATCACTGTGAACTCTGTATAATAGATTATGTTCGAACAGACCTCTGGCAATTCTGTGGTAGAATGGAAACTAAGAAATAACAAACCAAACATTTTCCATGTACAGTAATGAGGAGAGGTATTAATTGGTTAACGAGAGTCATTTATGGTTTTCCTTCAAGACAGTGTATCAGTTCAGAGTTTACTTCAGAGGCTGGGATGACTGTTTCACACTGTTTGAACGTGAAGGAATAGCATCCCCACAAAAGTCAGATACGTACAGTTTATTGATACAGATGACTGTAAATGAAATCTCACACACACATCTGAGGTTCTGGGAGGATGTGATAAGGCAACAGAAATCCTTTTTAGCAATACATGTTACCTGTTATTGTCTTTCAGCAGCTCACGGACATCACAGTTTACAAGAAATTGTATAAATGTTATTGATTGATTGTAATCTATATGATCTCCATCCATCCATTATCTGTACTGCTTGTTCCTGAATAGGGCCATGGGGGACTGGACCTGTTCCAGCTGACATTGAGCGGGAGGCGGTGTACATCCTGGACAGGAGGCCAGTCTGTCACAGGGCTGACATGTAGACAAACAACCACACACACTCTCATTCCTACGGGCAGTTTAGAGTCACCAATCAACCTAAGCTGAATGTCTTTGGACTGTGGGAGGAAGCCAGAGAACCTGGAGAGAATCCATGCAGGCACAGGGAGAACATGCAACTCCACACAGCTGCTGTGCCGCTCCTATTTGATGTCATACTTCAGAATTAATGTAATCACTTCACATTTTTCTTACAGAAATCTAATATTTCAAAAGGCTTATCAGATGAAGTTGGATGTCAAAAAAAAGTTTATTAGAAAAAGTTCCAATTATGTCTGTGTTCATAAATTATTGTTTAAATAAAGCCTTAAAAAGCAACACACCTGGCCAATAAAGCTGCTTCTGATTCTGATCTTAACAAGTCTCTTCATTTACAAAGGTTTTCTTGTCAAACACAGGCAGTAGTGTAAAATATGAAATGTTTTTGTGTCTGAATTCAGGCTGTGGGGAGACATGATACATAAAAATGGAATTGTTTTGACTGTGGTCAACCTCTAAGTGTACAGGCTTTGCTTTCACCCTTGGCATTCTTAGTCCTTTGTGGATTACATAACTACTGACAGCTTAGGTTACATACTTCACATCACTTTGGCCTCCTCACTCATCATTAGACCAGCTGTTTCACATGTTAAATACATAGTAAAATGACATGAACTATACTGAGAATTTGTGGCAGATGGTAGACCTTATCTTATTTTTGTTTGGATTTTGAAGTCCAGCTCCTTGGACATGGTGCGTGGGGGTCCCAGTGGCTCATCTGTACCAGGCTCTTTACTGTACATGTTGTTGGATTTTTCTCAATTGGCAGCTGTAAAAAAATGTGATGCTACAACTATTAAGACTGTGAAGTTGACTTTTTATACTTTGTTTGGCTTAGAGACATTTGAAACGCACTGTAACAGTTATTGTTTGTGGCTATGACAAGATTTTATTTTTGACCTGAAAATATTTTGGCGTCTTGTTGCACTTGAATGGAGAAAGGTGGCAATGTAGAGTTTTGAGGGCCACTGTCAGAATGTCCCCACATGGCAGATTCAGTTACACTGACCCCTGTGCTCCAAGAGTGCCAGTATAGCTGCATTGTATTGGCAGACATTCCTTGTTTAACTCTTTCCACTTCTTCTTTACTTAGCTCTGGATAGTTTTCATCTTCCCCCTGCTCCACATGGTGTCCTGTAGGAAGTGGAGAGGTGCTGTTTACACACGTCTGGGTCCAGATAGGATACTACCTTATGAAATAACTGGAGTTTTATTTAATTTCCACAGCTACTGCTATTTTATTTAATCACACTCAGAAAGTAAATATGAATATAAAAGCTAAAAAGTTCTCAAATATAAGTACTCTTACCTGGTCTGAAAAAAGTGGTGTCAGTGCATTTCTATCTTTTAATATTAAAGTAAATGTAGGCTACTCTTTGGACAAAATGGGTCCCTTTCATATTGTTATATTATTATATCCTGTATGTTATTGAATTATCTGATGCAAAACTCATTTATAGAACTGTACATTGGGGGCTTTACTCTAATGTATAATATTTTACAAAATTATAGGCCTGTATGTTTTATATGTAAGCTATTTTATTCTGTTAACTGCTAAAGCTGTCAGATGAATGTAGTGAAAAGTACATATTTCCCGCTGAAATGTTAAAATGGATTTACCTACATTAAATCTTAACTTTACAACAGCCTACATGAGTAAATGTACTTAGTTCATTTCCACTGATAAAAGAGGGCAATCTGCATAATGAGTGCTTTTAATACTTTATGCTTATTATGCTTGCACTTGCATACTAATAGGCTGCTACTAAGCTACTGGTCCACTTTTACTAAAGATCACCAAAGAAACGACTGCTATAATAAGCCCCAAAAGAAAGATGTCAATTGCCACTTATGAGGGGAAAATAGGCACAATGTTTTTGTTTCCATGGTTCCTTATCAGTATTATTTATTTAATGAACTTTGTGAACGGTTACAGAAAACAAACTGTCCTTTTCAATATTGAACGTCACATCTGCAAAGGTAGATAAAATCTGGCTCATGATGTCACCTTATATATGTTGCTTGGTAACCATGGCTACAGCGGAGGAACAATGGTGACCATTATTTTCTAATTAATGGGAAGACAGGGTTGTTTTACATTACATTAAATGCACAAACAATATTTTACAGTCGGCTTTCAGCATCAGCGGCGAAAAGGTCAAAGTGTTTGTTTGTCATATGCACAGTTAGGAAACATGTTTCCCTGTACAATGAAATTCTTACTTTGCCGTCCACATGAATGCCACAAAATACAAGTGAAATATAAAGTAGATGAGCAATAACACAAATCTAAATAGGCAGTAAAATCACAAATCTAAGGCACTTTAAAGCAGCAAGTGAAACCAAAAGATACTCATGATTTACTCAAATAGACCACTGTATCCTACTTTGGTAAAGCGCTGAGGTGGTCTACTTTACACACCACTACATTTATTCACTACATTTGGGCTATTACAGCTGCTGTTACCAGTTGGTTTCACTTTAAATTTTTACATTAAATACATATATTGCGCTCCAGACAGAATTTTTACATTTCAGTATTTTTACTAAAGGATGTCTTCCACCACTGGCTAGTTACCGGTGAAGCAATAACATGTTAAAGGAACTTACATTAACCTATAGTAGATATTTCCTTTTAGATTAATGTTCATCTGCTATGACGGTTATGTATGGACTTCATATGCAGTGTAGATATACTTGACAAATTGAAAGACAGAAAAGAAGACCAAGTGGTGGAAGTTGCAAAAGAAAGAATGTTGTGAGGAATTCAGACAGAAGTTGAGACAGGCTTTGGGCGGTCAGGAAGAACTTCCAGATGACTGGGAAACTACAGCAGAAGTGATCAAGGAGACAGGTAGGAAGGTGCTAGGTGTGTCATCTGGAAGGAGGAAAGAAGATAAGGAAACATGGTGGTGGAACGAGGAAGTACAGGACAGCATTCAGAGGAAGAGGCTAGCTAAAAAGAAGTGGGACATAGAAAGAACTGAAGACAGTAGACAGGAGTACAACAAATTGCAGCGTAGAGTGAAGAGGGAGGTGGCAATGGCCAAACAGAAAGCATATGATGAGTTGTATGCCAGGTTAGACACAAGGGAAGGTGAGAAGGACTTGTACAGATTAGCGAGACAGAGAGATAGAGATGGGAAGGATGTGCAACAGATAAGGGCGATTAAAGACAGAGATGGAAAGGTGCTAACAAGTGAGGAGAGTGTGCGGAGAAGATGGAAGGAGTATTTTGATGAATGAGGAAAATGAGAGGGAAAGAAGGGGGGAAGAGGTGAATATTGTAGGGAAGTAGCAAAGATTAGAAAGGATGAGGTGAGGAAGGCTCTGAGGAGGATGAAGAGTGGAAAGGCTGTTGGTCCAGATGACATACCTGTAGAGGTGTGGAAGTGTCTAGGAGAGACAGCAGTGGAGTTTCTATCTAGTTTGTTCAACAGGATTTTAGAGAGTGAGAAGATGCCTGAGGAATGGACAAGAAGTGTACTAGTGCCGATCTTTAAGAACAAGGGTGATGTGCAGAGTTGTAGCAACTACAGAGGTATTGTTAGAAATTAGACCAATTCTTTTGTTGGAAGCAGAAGCAGTGACAACAGGAGAGGACTGTTTAAAATCAGC